CTCGTGGGAGTAGCTGTAGGCTTCCCAAGAAATGCCTGCAAGAGCTTGTCTTTGGGTTGGGTTGGTGGTTGGATCATAACAATTCATACACATGGCTCAGATATCCCAAATAAAGTATTGCTTCCCATTGTGATATTGGCCATAATTTGCTTCATTGCCTGGCAGTTTCAAATTATTTGACAATAAAAGTGTCAGCAAGCCTATAAAGCAAAACACATGCTTAGAGGAAGATGATGCTTTATTTAAAAAAAAAAAAAAAGGTATACAGCGAGTTTATGAAGAAAAGAACTGTGGCCGTTTATAGTCCACATTTTTCAAATCTAAAGTGTTAGGCAAGGTGTTTTGTGGTGCTTCACAGTCAGAGGTTAAGAAAGCTAAAATTGATATCAAAATGCACATTGTTTTTCTGGGCTTGAAAGGCAAAAGTGTAGCTATGGATTTACATTTTGTGGTGGCAAAATATTCTGTAAAAGTAACACGGCCATGCCTTACTCATACGTGTTGTTTCAGATCGATGGGAGGGGAAAAGAGCTTTTGCACATGGTATTGTGTAGTGTTTTGGTTATGGTACAGACGTACAAGCCTGTATTCACTTTAAAATCAACAGGACTTGAAATATTTTCTCCAAACTCGCGTCCTGGGTTCCTGCATGGGGAGCAGAACCCCAGTTCGGTCAGACATGGAGGAGCTGCTGCCAGTGGCACTGGGGAGCTGCTGGGCAAGGGTGAGAAACTCCTGTAAGGAAGGGCACGGCCAGCTGGTCCCTTCTGCAAGACTGTGGCCTGCGACGTGTGTTTCTGCTTCTTTTCAACTTGATACTGTTTTATGTACAAAGTTATTTTAAGTTGTGGTGTCAGACATTTTCCCTGTGAAAGGAATGAAATGCTCTTAGTCATTTCTGAAGGTGACTTCTAAAAAAGATGCAGAAGGCAGCTTTTTTTTTTTTTTTTTTTTTTTACGCTGTTGGCTAACCTATTAATGATATGTAAGCAAGTCATTCTGTCAGTAAAGCAACTGACAGGTTATCTGATTTTTCTCATACTTTGCATTGTTCAGTTTTAGTTAATAATGTTTACAGTATTTTGCAATATGTTTCTGAGGAATATATACATATACACAGAACTGAAGCCTCCCTTCAGAGAGCTATGCTTATGCTTCCAAGAAA